GGAACAGAGTCTCAACACAGCGGTTCCTCGGACAACCTCTAGGAGTGCCCTGAGGAGTAGCAGAAAAGGCTGCCACAGGAGAGATATAGTATCCAGTTCCTCTCTCCAGCCTGGGAGCCTGCGAAGGCAGGGTCAGAGAGGGGCTGATTGGGTGGAGACTCCAAGCCAGCAAAGACCTGCCTGCAGCCTCGTGAACGGCTGTGTGAGCACAACAGAGCCGGGGGGGGTGGGGGATTGCCAGAGTCTTCCCTGTTTTCCCTGAGGGGTGAGGGGCTCCAGGGGCAGGAAAAGTCCAGGGAGGGGCTGTGTTTGCCAGGCTGTGAGGCAGGAGAGTTGCTACAACCTGCAGCTCAGATACTGCTCAATGAAGAGCTGGGAAGGGGGTGAAAGGCAGGGGAAGGTTGTCGTTGCAGGGACTGCAGAGGAGGAGCCACTGCCTGATGCCCCGAGACCCTTGCTGCCCAGAGACCCAAGAAGCATGGAGATGGACACCAGCACACGGGAGCATCCACAGACCACGTGCAGGGACACAGACAGTTCCGCTCCCTGAGGCGCCCTGCCAGGGGCAGTGCATATGGGATCCCCAGTACACGGTGTGCAAGTGAGAAACTGTAAATAATTTCTTGAGGGTTTATTAGTTGATATATCAATGTGTTTATTTAATGGTTATTTGTTATGTTGTAAATAATTAAATCTTGTAAATAGTTTGAGAATTGTTTGCGAGGGTGCTTGATTTGTAAGGGGAGGCTCTCTGCTTGGGGGCACTGCAGCAGCTTCCCGGGGAGCTGGGCAGGGCTACTGGCTACTGGGTACCCCAGGATCCCACTATTCAGGTGAGGGCGCGTGTTGTGTCATGCCCAGGGTTACACAAGGAACAGCAGTACATGTATAAATTTGTTTTTTTCCACTAAAAGAATACCTTGACACTACATAATGTTGCAGAAAGTAAAAGTGCATAACAATTTAGTCATACCATAGTAAAATACTACATATAACATTTCTTTAGTGTGGCACTAAGGAAGTCTGGCTACCCCAAAAATGCCTGAGATCTGACAATTTCCACATTGTTTCAAACTGACATGAACTTAACATCTCAATCATAAGCCATAAAAAATGAGTTTTACACTGGAAATGTAAAATTATGTGATGCTTCCAGGTCCCGCTGTTGCAGTTTGGTATAGGAGATTGAAACTCACTGGCATACTACAACAGAGTTTTGAAACTCCACAGCTCCTCTGAACAATGAAACAGGCATATTTTTTTCTGTTTTTTCTCACATTTGAGTCTCATATGTTTGAATATACCGTGTCTCTTTTTTAGCTGCTATAAATTGACTTTTGACAAAATGTGTGGAATGTAATTTAAAAGAACAGATTTGGTACGTTATCTGAAAACCTGATACCATGCATGTTTCAGCTTTAGCAGCTACATAAATGACATACAATAAAATGACTTTTATTGTAACAGAAGAGAAAGTTCTCAAATGCCTCAGTTTGTTTCCATTTGTTCATTTACTCCTTGATGCCCATTTTTTTAAACAGATATTGGTGTGTCATTGTAGCTGATGAGATAGCACCATACATTTCTGAAGTCAGCTCTTAGGGCTTCCCCCCCATTCAAGTAATAAATGTTAATAATATTGGTAATCTAGGCAGTTTAAATATTTTCCTCTTGGGGAAAGACTTTTAGCTTTAAAGGACTCACTGTTCCTCATCTAGTTTATATGATTTATCTGATTCCATTTTCAGATGTAGATGTTTTTAATATTTTCTGAATGTTCAGCTATAGGGTTGAACAAGTCACTTACAATGAATAATTTATTGGATGAATTTAACATATTTTTCACCCCACTGAATATTTATACAAAAATCATGATTCCTTTGAATGTATTCGTTATTTAAATTTATCTGATGAATAAATATCTCTTCCCAGTGGCATCACAGCTAATATGTAAAAGCAACTATGTTACTTGTGGTTGGTTAGATAAGCCACATTGCATTGCATTCAGTCCCTGATTGGATGTGCATTCAAACCCTATTAGTATGAATTCTTACGCATGCAACTTTGAAATTCACCTTTCACTAACAGCTGTGCCAGTTTGCTTTTGTTTCTCACATGCTTAACTTTATTCACATTGAGCAGGACCTGATCTCAGGAGTGTCCCCATCAAAATAAACAAACCATTTCTGAACAAAAGCAATTACTCTCCATAACTGTCACTGAACCTGACCAATTGTTGCCAGGCTGTCAGAGCTGAACAGGGGAAATCTGATCCTGTAAAAACAGTTTGGTTTTAGGCTATCCAATTTCTAGCAGGAAATTGAGGATGTTATTTTATGTGTACCTCTCTTGGGTACCACGATCTTTCTCACTCTCAAGAAGGGTTAACCTTTTGGTATTAAGCCCAATTTTTATGGTGATTCCCACCCCATACCACTCACCTTCAGACTCATACATGGCTGTATTCCTTATCCCTAGAGTTTCAAATTAAGGCGTCAAACTGCAAAACAAAACAAAACAACCCCCAACCGATCAATTCAAAACATAATTTTTAAAAGCTTAATTTATTTTTCATCTTGCCTTGGGATTATCAAACTCCTTATACCCATTCCAAAAGCATTTGGGATGCTGCCAGGTCTCAATTTTTTTTCTTGAACAACATGATTGTGGGTCCCTTCCAATCCCTGGGCAAGAGTGCAACCAATAACCTCCAAGAGAAAAACCTTGTCACTCATTAGAAGTGCCCTGAGCCATTAGCCCAAAAGAAACAATGTTACATCTTCAGGAATTGGACTTTCTTTCTTAAACCCTAAATCTGAGTCAAGTTCAAACTTCTGTGATATTGAAAAAGGCAAGATCTTGTCTGTGGTCAAGCAGACAAAGCATCCCACAACTAGTTCCCCATCAAAAACATACTCTATAATGAAGGGCTGTCACTTGTTCAGAAATGAACAATTCCTATTAAGCAAACACAGAAAAAAGCAACAGTAAAAAAATATTAACAAGCCATCCAAAAAAACAGAAACAAAATGAAACCCTAAAACCAATCCAGCAATGACTTCAGAATCCTCATGCTAACTTTTAGATATATATGGAGGTTTTACCTGAACTCAAATCAGCCCAGACACTTTATACCCACAATCATTAAATATACAGCACAGATCTCTTCCGCTTCAGCTAAAGGAAGACTAGTTCTTAGACCCCTGTGGATCAATCCATACAACATACAAGTATTTGTACAAGTCAAGAGTGAAATGCTGAACATCAGGATGCTTGATCTGTACTCTTCTCTCTAGGAGCAGAGTGTTGCCTAGTGATCACAGACAGCCTGGCAAAATGTAACAATGCCTTTCTTTGGGTCAGAACTTAGAATCCCTGGTTGAGATAGGGAGAGCCTCTACTATCAGAGTTAAAGAATCAGATCAGATCACAGAAACAGTGTCAAACTTAGTCATTTCCTGTCAGCTAGCTACTTGATGACAGACAGCCACTTTTTGTTAGTGTGGTTTATAGTGCTCCTAATTTCATATAGGCCTTTTGAAGCATTGTGTAACAAGACAAAAAAAGACCTGCCTCTCTTTTATCAGACATATTGTTTCTATTCCCAGTTCTGCCCCTGAAGCGAACAGTTCTCAACAACCCTGTGTGACTGATATCACTCTTCCACACACGTAGCAAGCAGTACAATGCCTTTACTCACAATAAGGGCTGTGAAGTATTAACCGCAGTTTTGGAATAGTAGGTTTATGGACTGGAATGCACTTTCAACATAGGTTGCCTGGCAGTGTAGGAAATAATGAAGGTGTTTATCTTACTGATCCCTATCGCTTTTTAGAAGACCACTTGTAGCAGCTGGTCAAGGTCATATTACATTCACAAGAACTGGTGGCCCTGGCACATATTTGTAAATCTCATCAACAAAACAAGAAAATATAAGTATCCACCCATTTTACATTTAGAAACTTGCAATTAACTTAAAGTGTGCTTCCACTGAAATCATTATAGGATCTTACTGAAGATAAATAGCCATGACTGTCTGTTAAGCCTTCTGTTCCTTACAAATGAGTCAAACAACATTGTTTAAGACTCAGCACCTAAGCATTTGGTGGCCAAGATATCTGGGTAGCCTAGTGTTAACGTGACAGTTAATACTAGGTCAGACAGTTTTAATCAACAGAGGGCACATCTACATGTGCAATTAATGCAAAGCAATAAATTCTGGAGTTTATTGCTATGGATTTTATTGCTTCCGGGTGCATGTTTAAACAGTGTGCCTGGGAGCAATAAAATTCATAGTAATAAACTCTGGAGTTTATTGCTGTTTAAATGTGTACCTGGATGCACAGCACATTGAGCCAGGTTGGAGCAACCCTAGTAGGCAGAGGGTCTAGAGGGTCAGTTTGATCTTCCCCAGCTTAAAGTGCTGTAGGGGGGCTGGCTGGGGCACAAGGGTGCTTCACCGTGGGCCTAGCTGGCAAACCCCTGCACTGAAGCATCCTTGTGCCCAAGCCAGCATCTACACGTGTGCTGCTGAAGAGTTTTTTACTCCACATAGATCACAAGTCAGGCTCTAATAGACAGAAGAAGCTTTTCATTTGTGCTGCTGTTTTCATCCAGGTGTCAGAATGATAAAACTAAAAAAGAACAAAGCAGTTGAAGTTAAATAGAAATCTCTCACCCTCCCACAGTAAGCTCTGCCTTAAACCTTAACCAAAGCTAAAATGAACTTTTTTGAAGACTTGAAAAACACACAGCTAATTTCCCTCCCACCCAAATGTTTCCATTTCTTTTGCACCTGTGGTCAGCAGCAGAAGAAAGTAATATTCAGGATAAGCTGTTCCTTTGGTACTTCTGGTCTGACTAGAGGAACAGACCAGAACTCTCATAAGAGAGTGCCTTGTGAGATTTCCAGGTCAACCACTTCCAATCCAAGATGTACAGCAAAGTCTGGGATCGCAGCATCTGCGTGGTTATTCAACTCAGTTGGGGTCTTTCCATCATTTGTAAACTAAGATGTGGATTGGATTTTAAAAATAATATGGCAGCACTGTACTCTTCTTTACCTATCCACAGCTCAGCAATGCTAAAGGTCTCCAGCACAGAAGACCATAAGACTGTGGATACAAAACAGGTAACAAGTATTTTCATTACAACCTATTTCAAGGTTCCTTTTTAAGATATATATTTAGGATTTACTGATATAGATCTGGGACTAGTTTTAATATAGCTTGACAAATTTATTGTTATGTAAAGTAATTGCCTGGAGTTTAAGGGTATTAACTACTGAAAAGAAAACAGAAACTCTGCAAAGTAATTTGGTCAGATGTACAAAGAACTAACTGATTTGGATCACAGAGTTATTATAAAACAAATTGCTTGTGATAGCAGAGATATTATTAGTAATCCCTGTGGTATTGCCAATTAATTGTAACAAGAGTTAGCTGAAACCAGTACCTCCCTTATATAAGCTATATATAGTGGCTGACAGTTAATTTGAATGGAATGAAATCAATACCTTAGAATTTTTTTCTTTCTTTTTAAGTGATTAGATCTCTAAGTGGAACATTTTTGTTGAGGTTCACCTCAGTAAGTGTAATAATTTATTTAACCAGAGCCTCAAATCATTAAATAAAGATATTGCTGCTTCCTAAACAATTGAGAGTAATCAAAACTTGCTCTAAAAACTGTTTCTACTATCAAATCAGTCTATGTCTTATTATTAGAGGATATATTATACAGGAAGAGAAATTTCAGGAGTGAATCAAAATTTGAGATTAGTGCAGCTCAAACTGATTCCAACGAATAAATAACTCATAAAATCACATTTTTGACATTTAATTTCACTGACGTCAGATTTCTGTTTTACAGTATTTTTCCCTCTGGTTAATTGTGGTTGCTTTAATTATTATTTATCAAACATTTTAACTAGCAAGTACCTTGATAATTAAACAATAATTGGGTTGATTGGGTAACATTTAGTACAATACTTCCAACTACAATCCAGAATAATCATCCAAAGCACAGCATCTTATCCACTATGATACATTCCACCTAACTTTTTATTTGGAAGACAAAAATACATTTGAATGCACGCTTTGATGGCATGATGATGACTATAAAACTGATAGAATGTTAGGGCAGAACACTAGTAATTTAAGAATAATTGATGCAAGGGAGTTACTAAATATTTGGCATACATGTCATTTTTCGGTACTTTTAGCTGTTAAAAAAAAAGCTTAGAGCTACAACAGAGTTAGCACTGGGCTATCCTCTTTGCTTTGCCACATATTAGCTATTTAGAAGGGAGAGCTAGAAAGACATGCTATTCCATGAAATGCCTAAAATTAATCCCTGATGCCATTAGGTTTATGGTAAATATGAAACATATAAGGGGTTTCCATCACACTTACTCCCACTGTAGGAGCCTGTTCATTGCTTTCAGTGGTAGTTAGACTGGTTCCCTACTTATCCACTTATACCGGTTCCCTAGTTATCCAGTTATACCAAAGTTTCAGGAAACTGCATGTATATGTAGAATGGTCCTTCTGGGCATTCGAACATTTGTTCTGGGGTTCAAGGCTTACACAGAGAAACACTTACTGATTTTTGCGATCCTATATACTTACATTTGCTGGTTTTTATTCCCATGCCTTTTGTTTTTCACCTGATGACTTGAGCTTGAGCTTTCATTACCCCTCCTCCCCACCCAGCGCTCCCTATAAACATCTCAATTACTCTACCAAATTCTGTTGTGTTCAGGCACATGAATGTTAACTGGAAGCATTTTTCAAGATTTACCCTAGTGAACAAGATCAGAGTTTGGTGTACAACATTTGTGTGTTTTATGTTTAAGGTGATTATGGTTAATGTGATTTACAGTTTGAGAAAGGGTTCATGAAAGAAAAAAAAACTTGTATGCAATTTTCCAGGATTTAAAATCAGAGAGAGGAATTACCATATAGTACCTTATTGTAAGTCAGCAGTTTATCTTACCCCTTATCCTTTTTTCCCACAATGTTCACTACCAACCTCTTCAACAGAAGGCTTAAGTAAAATGGAAGGCAACTGAAATTATCTATCCACCAAGAAAATTTCTTCCTAATCGCTAGCATTTACAGGGTGAAGTTTGAGTTTCTTTTCTTACTTAAACCTGTTCTGCTGTTGTTTTGTATTTTTACTATAACAATTTATTCCTTGAATGTGGATGTCTGTCAAAATGGACATCTGTCTGGATGGCGTCTTTTTTCCAAATTATCTCACGCTCCATACTCATCCAAGTGTTATGTAAACAAGAAAGCCTTTAAAATCAGAAGTGATTTCAAGGGAACATAAATTAATGTTCAAATTATACATGCATATGTATACATAGAGAGAGGCAGCTAACTTAGTCTGAAGTTAAGCAGAAGGCAAAGAAGTGAGGCACCTTATAGAATAACTTGTTCAGAGAGGCATGAGCGTTTTAGATACTATGAGTATCTGGGCAATAGTGATCATCGCTTGCTGGAATTCGCCATC